CTAATTTTCTTTTTACAGTCTAGAAGAACTATGAACTTGTTGGTAGATTGAGTTTTGTTTTCACTGAATTGAGGATGCTTAATGTTAAATTTTGGTTACTTAATCTTATTCTTCATTATTCATTTGATGACTGGCTACCGTCAATTGTGAGTTTGAGAATTAAAGTTCTCCTTAACAAAAAGAATTTTAATTAAGCTTTTAAATCAAGTAATATGGAATTGCATGATAATCTAATTTGTGATTAGGATAGAAATATACCTAATTACCCCGTATAATTATTGATGAGTAAGACCGAATTATTTAGCCTCTTAGGTAATTGTGTAAGAGATTACATATTAATTTAAGAGAGGGTTATAAGTAAACTGACAAGCACTTACAGCTAATTATACTCTAGATTAACAAAATTAACATTAAAGATAATCAATTCAATGAAACAAGGTTTAAGAAGGTAGCAAGGGATTGGTGACTCTAGGTTGGCCTCTTAACATTTGCTTAAATCAATTTGATAAAGCTTTGTTGTTTATTTTAATTTCTTTTCACTTAATTCCATGAAATTTTGATTTACGCAACTTAAATGAAAAGAGGATTTTTATTGTCTAATCACTGTTAACTAAGTTCTCTGTGAGATCAATCTTGATTTACCACTATCTAATTTTGTGACCCATACACTTGTGGTGCGTCTTAATATTTGGTAGTATCAATATAGTAATTAATAATTTAATTAGGAAAAAATCTTAAGTATAAGAATTTTGTCATGTAAAATATTGCTTTGTTTTAGGGATTTACCAAGCAATGACTTGTCAGGATTGATACTGGAATTTCTTGCTAAATTGCCCAAGTTGACAATCCTGTAAGTTTTAGAAAATGCATTAATATTATTTTTTAATACCTGATATACCTTAATAACTTGAAGACTACATGATGAATGTATTTCACAATGCTTTTGCAGTGATTTGAGTGGCAACAAGCTTACAGGTTCAGTTCCCAAGGCTTTTAAAGAAAATTCACATTTGCAAATGAGGTTTGTCACCTTAGTCTGTCCTAGTTGCACGTATAACTACGTGCCTTTTTTTCCTTGAATAAACTAAAATCATTTTACAAATATTATTGGGAAAATGATATAAAAAGAAGTTAAAAATGCAATATTTCAATTCAGGCACCCAAAAGGTCAAAATCCCAGGAGAGAAAATGATTTCTGACTGGTATTTTCCAAATCTAGTGAAATGAAAAAAATGCCTTATATCAAAAAGTTTAGGGAAAACCATATTGGAGGTACCTATACTTTTTTTCAATTTTCAATTTGATACCTATGTGTTTTTTGTTCTTAACTAAATCTTTATTTTTCCTCTATTAACATCATTAATCCTTATGTAGAGACTAAAAATATCAATAGAACAAAGTTATAAGAGCTAATGTTGCTAAAAAGATAAAATTAAATGTTTAATTAAAGAGAAAAAAACACATAGGTACCAAATTAAAAATTGAGAGAAAGTATATGTAACTTCAATATGGTTTTCCCAAAAGTTTATTAACAAGTTGTGAATTGGTTTAAACAACAAATGACAAGAAATATACTGGCAATGACAAGTTATTTATTAATAAATTGTGAGCTGGGAATGACAAATGTTAAATAAACATTGATAAGAAATGTACTGGTAATGACAAGTTTGATAGCTTTTCTTTAAAAAAAAAAAAATCTGATACAAGGCCATTTTAATCATTTGATTACAATTACATAATATCATATCAGGCACCTTCCTTCCCTGGGATTTTGACTTAGGTTCCTAGATTGAAATATTCCAATTTTCAACCTTTTTTATGTCCTTTTCCCAATATTATTTTAATGCGATGAGATTGCTGTATATTTTCCATTGGCTCTTACTATTCTTAAGGCTGTTGATGGGAAAAAATTATTGTTATTAGATAAAACTCAATAAAGTTACTGAGCCAAATTTAATATGTGATTCTAATTATACCCCCATATTTGACTTACCTTTCAGTTTGGATGATAATCCTGCTCTTTGTTTGAGGGATTCATGCGAAAAGCACAAGTTCATTATTGCACTCGTAGCATCCGTTTCGGCTTTGACGGTTATAGTCTTGATTTCTCTAGGAATTGGGATCTTCAAGGTGAAAAAATCAAAGGTACGCACAAAATACTACTAGTTTGTATTATCATGTGCTAATATAACTTGTTTCTTTTGCATAAAAAAATACTACCTCCAGTCCTCAATATAAAACCTAGTTGACTAATTTAGAGATATTAGGAAAAGTAAATAAATTACTTTAAAGTATTTATATTTATTTTGTTTCTTTAAACTTATTTGCCTGACTTCAAATTGAACAACTTAATAAAATAAGAGTTTATAAATGCATTGAACAACTTTTAAAGGCACAGGTAAAAGAAATCTAATCATACTGATTCTACAGGTAAGAAAGGAGGTCAATTGAAATGGAAAGATAGCCTTCAAATTGTTTGGATGCAGCGTATGGTAAGAAACAATCATATATGATATTCTAGTTAACTGTATATAAAAATAAATAAATTACATTTAGTAACAATTTCTTTTTCAAGTGACTTAAAACAATGGTTAAAAATTATGTCATTCTTTACGAATTGAGATTATTAATATTCAAACTGGAATTTGGGTTCATTCTTTCTTTCTTTGACAATTACCTTGGTGATACATATAACGAATGGAGTTGCAGGATTGGATTATTTGCATAATGGTTATAAACCTGCAATTGTACATAGAGACCTTAAGGCCTCCAACATTTTGCTGGACAAGAATATGGAGGCTAAAATCACTAACTTCGGATTATCTAGAGCTTTTGTAAACGATATTGATAGTCACGTCCCTACTCGTCCTACCGGAACACTTGGTTATCTTGATCCTCAGTGAGTATTTTTATTTATAGAATATATATTTTCTCATCAGCGCATTGGCATAGTGTAATCCATATAATTGACTCCATCTATTGCAATATTGTTTTGTTTATTTCTCGTCAATTAAGAAGACTCATAAAATTAGTTTAAGCTTGCAGATAAGAAAATCAATCCATTACAAGGGGAACTGTAAATGAACACTAGTACAATTAATTAATACATCAATTTTCTGTTTTTTTTTTTACAGTATGAATTATATATAGACGATGATTACAAATTGAAGTTTTATTAAAATTAAAGAACTCTAAAAGGGAAGAAAATTGTCACTAAAATTCGTTTTGAATTTTTCAAACTCAGTTTGGATGTATATGATTGAATACAAGAATATTCAATGGAGAGATATATTTTGAGATCCATCTAACTTTTCTTTTTTAATTTTGCCTTGTAATAATAACAGATTTCAAAATTCTGGAAACCTTACAAAAGGGAGTGATGTTTATAATTTTGGAATAATTCTGCTGGAACTGGTGACTGGAAAACCAGCAGGAAAAAGACAACCAAACAATAACTTCATTCTTCTGCTTGAATGGGTCACCCCTAAACTTGGAAGCAAGGATATCCAGTCCATTGTTGATCCAAGGTTACACGGACAATACAGTGTTGAATCTGCTTGGAAATTTCTTGAGATAGCCAAGTCATGTACCACACCACTCGCAATTCAGAGTCCTGATATAAGCCAAGTCATAGTTGATCTAAGGGAATGTTTGGAAATGGAGATAAGAATGGAAGGGACAAATCAAAACACCAATTCAAACAGTTCCTTGGATATGAGCGCTAATTTGTAATTAGATTCAAACTTTAGCGCTCCGTCTGCTAGATAGATAGATACCTGTTTACATTTCTAATGTGTTAAACGTTACTTGTGTTGTTTGTTGTGAAATGTTTTGCCTCGGTCGAAATCTTATTCTTCTATTTGTATTAGTCTAATCCTTTACTTAAAATTGTGTTTTTGTGAAACTCAATGGGCATTGACTCTGTCGTACCTATTCCTTTACCTTCGTTCCTAGAAATCTCGGAGAATACAAAGTTTGAGTTTATTCATTGTTATTCACTTATTCTTGTTTCTCTAAGGTAGCTGTTTGCTTGCTAGTGATTAAACTATATTCAAGTGCATATATGCACGCTGTGCTTGTCTAAGAGTATCTTTTACTCAAAGATATTCATGGCTGTTGTGTTACTGTTTCTGACAAGTACATTCAATGCTTCACCTAACAGCTAATTTGGATAATGTCTACTATCTAAATTTTGTATGTAGCCACTAGTTGCTCAGAAAAACTATAAATAGAAGATTCATTTCAGTTTGATGTATGAATTTATGATCACTAACTATTGTAACTCACTTTATTTTTTTAAAACCTATTTCATAGAATCGAAGAATTCCGAATTACCAATATGAGCTTCATTATATTGTATACATACATAAATTTGTGAGGTTTCCAATTATTCTGATTACTAAGGATCTTATCTCATTTGTACCCTTAGAGATACTCAAGATTACAATAAATCTTGAGGGGATTAAATTACTCTAAGAGTTGATCAAGTTTGTCGCTAGAACCCAGTTCAACCAAGCAAGAATAATAAAAAATCTTGAACGAAGAGTTTAGGAACTGAACGTAAGCAAAAATAGCTGGAGCTGTACCCAAAATATATTCATGCGTTTTATACCCATACATCGTATGAAGAAAGATGTCTACTTAGGAATAAAAAGATAAACAAATAGATTGAGTTCATGGCATAGCACAGTAGCATTCAAATTTTTTCCTTTTTTAGAACTAGCATACACCAAATAGAAAACCATCTAACATAGTGTTCACAAGTTTTCAGTATTACACAAACAAGAACCATATCTCCAGATCTTCACACCAAAACAAAGGGAAAAAAATGGGCTTTGACCCTCAAACAAGTCTGATGAAATGGACTCTAGCACGGTATATAAACCACTGTAAATTAGCATCTACCAAGGTGAGGGGTTGGTCATTGAATCAAACTGTTCAATATGATTGCTTGGATAGATTGACATAATATTTGATTTGGCATGACCCATCTCCAAATATCAACAATCATTCAGTTCTTGTAACACGAAAACTGGCCCTTGTTTGGTCTCTGTTATAACGCGTGAAATTGCTATCTCAACAATTTTCCATGCAGAAGCAACATGGAATTCACCTTCCAACCTTGGATCAACAATGCCATGAATGTCCCCACATTCAACTTTAGAACGAACCCAATCAATAATATAACAGATACTTCCAATTTCTCTTCTTATTGTAGGACGGCCTGTGATTAGTTGAAGAAGAATGATCCCAAAGCTATAGATGTCACATTTTTCATTGATGATCCCAGACTTCTGAAATCTGCAATAATGTAATGGGATATAATCAGTCACTGTACAGTAATTGTTTGGTTTTTTCAGTGATAATATGCTTATGTTAAAATTTTTTTCCATCAATTTGCGAGAAATTTTAGAACCACAAAAAACAATACTAGCTCAAATCCTTAATATCAGAGTTACTTGGAGTTAAATTTAGTTCTCATAAATATAAGACATTGATCCACTTTGTCTCCCAAACTTACAATTCCTACCCTCCGAAAAAGTGTCCCAATTCATTGTACATACTAAACAATTTTCCCGAAAGGGTAGTTCACAAACATATGATCAAAGAAGGTAGTCTAGGAAAGCTAATATACATTTGTTACAAATAACTAATTTAAATAACCGACTTAACTAATTTTATCATCCCCAAATTAATTAGGCAATATAATTTAATGAATATTTCTTCATAAATGAAATGCAACCACTTATTCAGGATCAATATAACCACTACAAAAAATTTGACTTTCAACGGCGACAAATGTCACCGCTGAAAGTCCAAAAGTCGTTGTTGAAAAGCTTCAGCGGCAACATGTTATCGCCACCAGGTCGTTGCCGTAGCGGCCGTGGCTGAAACTTATTAGCGGTGACACAAAAATTCGCCACTGAAACTACACATTCAGCGGCGACAAAAAGTCATTGCTGAAACTACACTTTCAGCGGCGACAATTTCGTCGCCGCTGAATCTTGGTTCAGTAGCGACTCTTTTGTCGCCACTAAAGCCTGTTTCAGCAGTGACATAAATGTCGTCGCTGATTATATTTTCAGTGGCGACCATAATGTCGCTGCTGATTACCTTTTTTGTGATTTTAATTATTTTTATAATATATTAATTATGCAAAAAATTTTATTTATATGCCTGATAAATATTATCAAAAAGTTTAATAAAAATAAAGTAATTAACACACAAATATAGTATATTAAATAAGATTTATAACTATCAAAGTGTTTTTCTGTCTTTAACTAAAAAAAATCGTTCAATTAAAAGATACATTACATAATGCAAAAGAAAAATTACGTAGAGGGACCAATACTAGGGACGCTAGAAGTAGGGGTATCTGCAGGAGCATTTAACTGCGTCTTTCGCATGAAAGCAATGAACTGAGCTTGTATTCTCTGTTCCATCAATTGCTCCATCCTTTATTCAAGTTGTGTACGCTCTGCTTCCATCTTTACTCACTCTGCTGCATGTTCTGCTTCCAATTTTTCTCGCTCTGCTGCACGTTCTGCTTCCATCCTCTCTCGCTCCGCAGCAAGATTTGCTTCCATCTTTTCTCGCTCCTCCTGAAATCTTCTTTCAAACTCTTCATACAATTGGGTGCGTACGTTCTCAAGTGAATCACTAGATTGAGTGTGATGTCTCTTCCTTTGAGGCTCTACTCCATAACCTTTTCCTCTAACATATCCTGACCTCTCACCAAGAACAGCTATCAATATCTCATTAGAGGTTATTCGAGCATCACTCTCTAAGGATTGCTGTTGAACGAGCTCATGCATGCGATCCTATAGTTACAAATTACAAATTACATTAATGAAAAAAAATATAATTATTTAATTAAATATAAAGGACAAATATTATGTATACATGAATCTCTTCAGATCACGGATCCACCCACTTTAACTGGCCATCTGTGGTCTTCCTAGTATGTGTTATCTCCCAAACTGATATGGGGAGGCAGGTTGTCCAATGGTGGGGTCTCTCTATAAAGCATAATATACAAAAATAACAAATCTTGAAAAATAAAAAAAATGGATAAGAAAAATAAAGTGCAGTGAAGAGGCAACTTACTATAGAAAACTCAACCTCTGCAAATGATCGGGGACCACATGTATGCTTTGTTACTTGTTTTGCTCGGTTTTGTGTGTTTCTAGCACTTTTGTTCTACATCAAATTTGAGTAACTACTAAGTATGTTGAATGATATAATTATATTATCCACTTAAATAGTTAGTATTTAGTAAGATACCTTAAATGGATCTAACTGAAAATATGTCAACAACCACTCCCAATCTTCAAAACTTACAGTTTGAGGTGGATTTGCCAACCTTTCTTCATCAGTGTCAAATTTCTTATAGTGGGTATGCAAGTTGGTCTTTCAATTTCTGAAAGCATTTTGCAATGTAGTCACTATCATTTTTTGGAATTTCTCTTCATCTGTTGCAACAGCAGGTTGAAATTTTTCCTAAAATAAAAATCAATATTAGCATAAGTACTTGTTTTGAAAGCATAAATAAACTAAGATATATATTTACTAAACATAAATTGTACCTTCACTTTTAAAATCATGACATCAATATAATTTGTGTAAACATTCTTCCATTCAGCACAATCCTTCAAAGATATTGTGGTTCTAATAACATAACCACAATAATTAGCTAGCTCTCTCGCTCCTTGCCCTACTGCTCTTATCATGTCATCTGTGAAAGTAAGCTCGATCTTTCCTCCAAATTTAGTCATTAAGTCCACATTGAGCGACTTATAAACTCCTCTACCTTTCTTAATTATATTAGAAGAACCTATCATTCAGGTGAACAAATAATACAGTCAAAAGTATGTGATGATGATTAGTTACTTGTATTATATAAAAGTAAAGAAAATTTACCTGCACTACTGTTTTGGGTAGGGGGAGAGTCAGCAGGCAATTCCTCAAATTGTACTTGGAGTGGTCGAGGTGAAATGGTATGTCTAATTGTAGGGGTAGAGCTAATACCTCCACTACTTGTGCTGCCATGTCATGCGAAGAAAGAGCTTCTCCCACCTCATCCTCTCTTTAGCCCTAACATATCCTGCAATAATGTACAAAATTTAGATTGTTTTTTATGTTAATAAACTACTCTTTATGAAGATAGTATATATTAACAAAAATTACAAAATCTAACTTGTCAAGAATATATTAGTAAAAACTACCATTTATAAGGATTGTAGTTTCATTCTGTTGAGTCCTCTGTGGTACTGTCACTTGTATGATTATCTTCTATTTCACCTTCAATGTCACTTTCTTCTTCAGTATCACTATCATTACCATCAAGCACATCTTCTTCATCACTATCTTCATGAACTAGTGAATTAGATTCACTATCATCAATATATCCAGTCTCCATAGTATGAATATTACTTCTTTGTGATGGTTCTCCTACTTGAATGAAGGTTTGGGGTTGTACATCATCTCCACAAAAGTCAATAAAGATATCATGTTGTATAAGACTTGCATTTAAATCAACCACCAATTGTTGATAAGGCTCTTTATCAACCATTGCAATATTAATACCACTACCAACATTAACATTCTCAATCGGTATATTGAACAAGTCACGTGGATTCGTTTTGACAGCAACAATCCAACCCGGTTCAACAATATCATCCACATAAAAAACTTACTCTGCTTGAGATGCTAAAATAAATGGTTCATTAGTTTGTAATGAACATTGAGTGTTGATACTTGTGAACCCATACTTATCCACCTTATATCCTTTGCCATAGTTAGTGACATCCCACCAGTGACACTTAAACAAGTATAATTTTTTATTCTCTATGTAAGATAACTCATAAATATGCTCTAACACACCATAATATTCTTTATTAGCATTAGTGTCATCACCCTTGGCCATGACTCCATCATTTTGAGTTCTTTTTCCTATTGCCCGATCTTTTGCATGAAAATAAAAAATGATAAAAAAATGTGAAAAAACTTTCAGCGGCAACTAATTGTCGCCACTGAAGCAGCTTTCTGTCACCACTCAATGGCGAGTAGCGTCAGTGGCGACAAAAAGTGTCGCCACTGAAAGAAGATTCAGTGGTGACTTTTCATGCTTCAGTGGCGACAGAAAGTGTCACCACTGAAAGAAGATTCTGCGGCAATAGTTAGTCGCTGCTTAAAAGACATTCAGTGGCGACCATTCAAGTCACTGTTGTAGTGTACACTTTTGGTGTCCACAAATTTTGTCGCCACTGAAAGTTGCAGCTAGTATGTCGCAACTAAAAGTCATTTTCAGCGGCGACTTCCTTTGTCGTTGCTGAAAGTCATCGCTGAAAGTCCAGTTTTTTGTAGTGAACACAGTGTGCCGGCTGGCTAAGTTGATAGATGAGAATCTCTTTCATTTATGAATGCTCTAGACAATCCAAAGTCAGCAATTTTGGCAACCATGAATTTGTTTAATAAAATGTTGGATGGCTTCAAGTCTCTATGAATTATGGGAGTCTTACAACCATTATGAAGATATTTCAATCCTGAAATCACATCATATCATACAAGGGAAGCCGTAAAAAGTGATTGTTAGAGAGGGGGAAAAAGGATCACAGATTCTCTAACCTTTTGCTGCATCAACAGCAACTTGAAGTCTCTCGCTCCACTTTAAAACATTTTGGCTTTTAATCTACAAACATCAAGTCTTTGATCAAGAAATGTGCCTCACGAGCTAGCCAAGATATGTACATGATGATGGTACATGAGGATTCAGTCTTAAATTTGAGTTTGAAAATCCAAGGAGTGAAGTGAATTAAAGAAAGTCAAAGTACATGTGGCAGATTTTACTATATTTAAGGCAACAACGACAAATACAGTAATTAATGAGAAGTTTGTCGCATAATATAAGACAAACCTGACAATAATCTGCCGAGGTCTCCAAGGTCCATGTATTCATAAATCAGAGCTGTGACGTCGTTTTCATTACAAAACCCAACAAGTGAAACTAGGTTTCTATGATGAATGGCTGTTAAGAGTTGTGCCTGCAACTTAAAGGTTAGCTCTATCATTATTAAGTAAGAACATCCTTCAACTTGAATATATTCACTATTAATTGATTACAAAAAGTTTATTTATTTCTAACCTCTGAATGAAACTCCTTATACCCCTGTCTTGAAGATGGGGAAAGCAACTTCACAGCAACCTACGTATGATCTTCTAAAGTGCCAAGGTAAACTTTCCCAAACCCCTCTTCTCCAATTATAGTTTCGAAATTGTTTGTGATACCGAAAACCTGAGTAAGGAAAAGCTTGATTCTTTTGTTTTAGAACATTCTTCTTACGGGATTCCGCAAACAAAACTGCAATGTTAAATCAAACATCTTAACACTTCGTATATAATAAATGGACCAGCATGGATACATCAACAAGTACAATGAAATGATAGCATGCATAAAATCAATACCTGCTTTCATTTTAGATCTCCTGATCGCCAAAGATACAAGTACAATGGCGATCACTACAGTCGAAAATGAAGCGATAAGTAGAATTACAAACTCGTGTTCTTTGCGTGAATTTGATGGACCAAGACCAGGATTGTTGGCTATACTGGTAAAATAGAGCAGCGTTAGGCTTGAGTAATATAGGGATAATACTATAATTTTTAATATATTTAAAAAATGATCCATCTATTATTATGGTGATTGCTTGCCAAAAAAATATTTTCACAGAAGTCAAGATAAAATTCTTTTCATATATTCAAATTCTGTAAAATCACTTCTGAAAAGCTAATCTAAACAACTCGTTAGTATTGGATTCTACTGTCTAGCAAATGAATAATAGGAGCAATATCTTCCATAAAGTGCACCTATGTTATGGTTGTCGTTATGGGGTGATGTATTGAATAAAATGCAATTATAGACTTGTAGAGGTGGATACTGGATATATATTATTTGCAAACATAAAAGAGAGTGACTTCTATGTACTTTAGACACTCGATATGAAAATAATAGCTTTGATATATTAAAGCCTATAAAACTAATAATGGTTTTATAAAGTATCAATAATAATTTTAAACATAAAAAGAATTAGTTTTAAATTTTTAAAATAATTATCATTATTTTCGGGTGCAATGCAAAGAGAGGAGAGGGAGAGAGGCTTTCCATAATTGACTAATTTTATGTTCAAAGCATGTCGGTGAAAAAGTAAAGTAGAAAATAAGCTTAGTAGGAAGAAATAAAATCCAGGTAAGATTTAGGTTCATCGTGGTGTGCTAACATATAGGAGCTGTCATAATATTAAACCCAACTTAAGGGGACTATAAGTAAAATAGAATTTGATAATGGAGAAATAAGTAAACCTTGGCTCCAAATTAGCCTTTTCCATCAAAGCCTTTGGAATTGGACCCGTGAGATTATTTCCTGTAACATTACTGTAAGATGGAAAAGAACAAAAGA